ACATATCAGTTATAACCATCAAAGTCAATGGTCTCAACTCACCAATCAAGAGAAATAGACTGGCAGAATGGATTAAGAAGCAAAATCCAACAATATGTTGTATACAAGAAACACACCTAGTGCAAAAAGAAGCCCACAGACTGAAAGTGGAAGAATGGAAAACATTTCTCCATGCGACAGGAGCCCAGAAAAAAAGCAGGGGTAGCAATCTTATTCACAAAGTAAATTTCAAACCAAAACTGATTAAGAGAGAGACAAAGAAGGCCACTACATCCTTGTAAAGGGAAAAATTCAAGAGGAAGAGATGACAATCTTAAACATATGCACCAAATATTAATGCCCCCCACTATATAAAGCAAATATTAAGTAACATGAAAAATCAAATAAGCACTAATACAACTGTAGTGAGGGATCTAAATACCCCACTATCACAGATAGACAGATCATCTAGGCAGAAAATTAACAAAGAAATACTAGAACGGAACTAAGCTTTTGAATGAATGGACTTAATAGACATCTATAGAGTGCTCCACCCCACAAAATCAGAATATACATTCTTTTCGGCTACACATGGGTCATTCTCCAAGATAGACCACATACTAGCTCACAGGACAGGTCTGAATGAATGCAAAATAATCAAAATTATCCCCTGTACATTATCAGATCATAGTGCAATCAAGCTGGAGGACAATAGCATAAGAAACCATGAGAACTTCACAAACACATGGAAATTGAACAATGCTCTCCTGAATAATCAATGGGTCACAGAGGAAATTAAAGAAGAAATTAGACAGTTTTTACAAATAAATGAAAATGCCAATACAACATACAGGAATCTATGGGACACAATGAAAGCAGTTCTATGTGGAAAATTCATAGCACTGAATGCCCACATTAGGAAAACAGAGCAAGCTCAAATAAACAACCTAACGATGAATCAGAGACTCCTGGAAAAACAAGAGCAAGAGAAACCCAAAGCTTGTACAAGAGGAAATTATAAAGATTAGAGCAGAAATCAGTGCAATGGAAACTAAGAACATGATACAAAAAAAATGAATTGAAGAGTGGGTTTTTTGAAAGAATAAATAAAATTGATAAAATCTTAGCTAACCTTATCAAAAAAAGGAAAGAAAAGGCTCAGATCCATGCAATTAGGAACGAAAAAGGTGAAATCACAACAGATCCAACAAAAATCTACTTTGAAAACCTGTACTCTAATAAAATGGAAAACACAGAAGAAATGGACAGATTTCTAGATACTTATGAATTATCAATGTTGAATGAAGAATATGAAAACATTTTAAATACCCCAATTACAATCAGTGAAATTGAAAATGTAATTAAAAGTTTACCAGCAAAGAAAAGCCCAGGCCCTGATGGATTCACTGCTGAATTTTAAAAGACATGTAGAGAAGAACTACTGCCACTACTCTTTAAACTTTTCAATGAAATTGAAAGGAAAGCTATACTTTCAAATTCATTCCTGGAAACAAGTATCACTTTGACTCCCAAACCAGGGAAAGGCTCAACTAAAAAAGAGAAGTACAGGCAATCTCCTTAATGAACATAGATACAACAATCCTTAATAAGATACTAGCAAACAGAATACAGAGGATCATCAAGAAGATCATACATCCTGACCAAGTTGGATTTACACCAGGGATGCAAGGATGGTTCATCATACCTAAGTCAAAAATGTAATACACTACATTAACAGAGTCAAAGACAAAAACCATATGATCCTCTTGATAGATGCAGAAAAAGCATTTGACAAAATTCAACACCCATTCATGATAAAAACCCTGCAAAAAATTGGAATAGATGGTCTATATCTCCACTTAATAAAGGCTATCTATGAAAAACCAACAGCCAACATCATATTAAATGGTAAAAAACTGAAAACCTTCATGTTAAAATCAGCAGCAAGGATGCCCACTATCACCACTCCTCTTCAATATAGTTCTGGAAGCATTAGCCACAGCAATTAGACAAGAGAAAGAAATTAAAGCAATAAAGATAGGAAAGGAAGAAGTTAAACTGTCATTATTTGCTGATGACATGATACTCTACATTGAAGACCCAAAAAACTCCACCAAAAAACTTCTAGACTTAATTGACACTTTTAGCAGACTAGCTGGACACAAGGTCAACACTCAAAAATCAATAGGCTTGTTGTACAAAAATAACAGACTCACTGAGAGAGAAATTAGGGAAACAATTCCTTTCACAATAGCATAAAAAAAATGAAGTATCTAGGAATCAACCTAGAAGCAAAAGACCTCTACACTGAAAACTAAAGCACTCTGAAAAATGATATTGAAGAGGATATTAAAAAATGGAAAGATATCCCCTGCTCCTGGGTAGGAAGAATCAACATAGTGAAAATGGCCATACTACCAAAACTGCTATATACATTCAATGCAATGTCAATTGAAATTCCAGCACTATATTTCACAGAACTAGAAAAAATAATTCAAAAATTCATTTGGAACCAGAAGAGACCTAATATAGCAAAAGCAATTCTAGGCAACAGAGATATGGCAGCAGGTATAACAATTCCCAATTTGAAACTACACTACAAAGCCACTGTGGTAAAAAAGCATGGTACTGGCAAAGAAACAGGCCTAGGATCAGTGGAACAGACTGGAAGATACAGAAACAAATCCAGATGTACTCCACTACCTCATCTTTGACAAAGGAGCCGACCATCCTCACTGGAGGCAAGATAGTCTCTTTAATAAATGGTGTTGGAAAAACTGGATTTCAACCTGCCAAAGATTAAAAGTAGACCCTTATCTTTCACCATGCACTAAATTAAAATCCAAGTGGATTAAAGATCTAAACATTAAAAAAGAAACACTAAATTTGCTGGAAGATAAGTTAGGCAGAATTCTTGAAGACATTGGCATAGGGAAAGACTTTATGAATAAATCCTCAGTAGCATGGGAACTAGCACAAAGAATAAACAACTGGGATCTCATCTTATTAAAAAAAACTTCTACACTGCAAAAGAAACCATCAACAGAACTAAGAGACAACGTACAATGTCGGAAAAACTTTTAAACAGCGCTTCTCAGACAAAGGGCTCTTATCTAGAATATATAAAGAACTAAAAAAAAAAGCCCCCCCAAATATAAAGACCCAATTCAAAAATGGGCATCTGAAATGAACAGACATTTCTCAAAGAAGAAAAGCAGCAAGTAAATATATGAAAAAATGTTCCACATCACTGGTCATTTGAGAGATGCAGATGAAAACAACACTGAGATTCCACTTCACCCCACAAAGAATGGCTGCTATCAAGAAATCAAATAATAACAAATGTTGGTGGGGTTGTGGGGAGAAAGGAACGCTTCTCCATTGTTGGTGGGAGTGCAGACTGGTGCGACCACTATGGAAATCAATATGGAGATCCCTCAAAGAGCTGGGTCTAGAGGTTCCATTTGACATGGCCATCCCTCTGCTGGGTATCTTTCCAAAAGAATTAAAAGAATCATATCACAGTGATATATGTGCACCTATGTATATATCGGCACAGTCTGTAATAGCTAAAACTTGGAAACAGCCCATTTGCCCATCAGTTGGAAACCGGATAAAGAAGATGCAGTTTTTCTATAAAATGGAATATTACTTAGCCATAAAAAATGAGAAATTAGATTCATTCACAGGAAAATGGATACATATTGAGGATATACTCCTAAGTGAAATAAATAAGTCACACGTGTAAATACTGAACAGTTTCTCTGGTGTGGAAAAACTATAATAGTACATAAGATACTAATGAGATAACTGACAATGTGAAATATGAAGAAAAGAGCTAAATGTGTGGGGAAAGTGTGAGGGGTGGGTAGGGGAAAGGTCATAAGGGAAAAGGAAAAAACATGAGAAAATGAAAAAATAGAAATAAAGTGTTTGTAAATGGGGAGGGGAGGAGCGGGTGAAGGGCAGGCACGGACAAAGGGAAAAAATGAGAACCAAGACCTGTCTTGTAAAGGTACAAGATCCTAATGATGAATGCAACTGTACTGTATACCTAAAATGTACCAATAAACTCAATGAGGAAAAATAAAATGTTACAAGATTAGCAGATGCCCGAGGTGCTTAAGCATACCCAGAGTGAGACCAGATGTTTAAACTAAGATAAGAATTACTGTATCTTATAACCAAAGTACACTTAGACCCTAAACTTTCTATAAATCATATGACTATAAAAGAGTTAATATGAAAGGAATGTCACCAGTCCTGCTTTCCTAACCCTGATCGCTACTCTTATGGGCTAGAATAGCTAACTAGGCAGTCCTAAAGATAAACATCCTAACCTCAAAGAAGATGCTAAACTTGGGTTAAAATTAAATTGTCTTGTGACCATGATTTGTACATCTGTGAAGGGAAATGAGAGAGCTGAAATGTTTTATTGAGCTACCTAAAATGAGGTCATGATTCTAAAACTCCTATAAAAGAAGATTGTAACCCAGCCCAGGTCTGTCATTTGGCACAGTCCTTGGTGCAGGCCAACCCTTTGCTAGCAATGAAAACATTTTTGTTTTACCCACTTCTGCATTTCTGTGTGTCATTTACCAGTTCTTCCATAACAGCAGCACCTAGCTAAGAGGGGATCAGAGGCCTTTCTGCAGGTACTAGCCTAGTGGCAGGGGATACTGGGGATCTGTAGGACAGAGTTTCATCATGGTGGTGTTGGTACTGGCTTTCAAGTCTAAGGTGTAGACTTGAAAGCTGGAGCAGGGGGAGGAGGATAATATAGGCAACTCTTTTGTTTTGTTGGGTTTTTTTGGTTTTTTTGAGACAGAGTCTCACTACGTAGTTGAGATTGACCTGGAACTCACTATGTAGTCCAGGCTGGTCTTGAACTCACAGCAATCCTCCTGCCTCAGCCTCCCGAGTGCGGGGACTACAGGCATGTGCCACCATGCCCAGCTGGCAACTCTTTTTTTATTGCCTTCCTACTGGTATGCTAAAATAGGCCTTTTCCTACTAGTATGCTAAAATCAGACACCATAGTCTTTCACTTGGCTTCCTAGCTCCTGTGAGTAATTTGATATGCAAAGAGCTTTTCAATTAGCAATAATCACACCTCAGATAAACCTCACTGGCTACGATACTACCACTGCGCAAAGCTGCAAAGCTGCTGTTCAATTTGGTGTCTGTGTATGGAAATAATCCTGTAGTCAAAATCTTATTCCCAATCTCCATTTATAGTTACTTAATGGAAACAGACTCATTGCCATCTTACATAAAATACCACAGAATTTAGAAGTATATCCATTATTAAGGTTTCTTTAAATTTTCTACTTTAGTCTAATTAAAGGCTAAATATTAAACCAATATTTATTGGGAGCATGTTGTATAGTAAGCACCAGTTACAATGAGAAACAGGTATAGATATAAGACTAAAAGAAAAGATACCCTGCCCAATAATGTATCTTAACAAGCCAAAGTAGATGAGAGGAGGGAACAAGTAACTCTGTCAGAGAGATATTAAGGAAACTTCACAGAGTTCCTTACTTCTCCACTGAACTTTTGCCTTTACCCTCAAAGCTTCACCTATTTCCCTCAGGGGCACACTGCCTATCTTCCAGCCCTTCTGAAAACTGGGTGAAAGCCTTCCTGATTCCATAACTCTTGCATTTTGCAAGCCTATGAAACCAGCACCATGTGAATGATGCCAGCTTAACAATAGTCAGGAACCCCTGTATCATTGCTGCAGAGGCCCCTGTATAACTGGAGGAGAGGTGTCCTCAAGGAATCTTTCCTATTGTGTTGATGAAAAATACATGTCTCTTCTTTTTAATGCTAATCATTTTAGCAACCAAGTTCCCTTATGCTCACTTTAGAAGCTTTCTTCACTGCAAAACTGAAAACTTTTTAAATTAGTTTTTGCTCATAATTTTAGTACAAAAATAGCTAAAATCCACCACTGCTTAAATGCAGGAATTCATTGAAATTTTCTGCATTAGATTTTTTTTGTTTTTATTTTTAGTTATTTATCTTAATATAATACAAGTAGATATTAATAAAGAAAATAGTCAAAACACACTACTTACTTCTATATTAAAAACAAAATTTTATAGAAAATAATTAGAGTATAACAATGGTTAATTTTTACTGTGCATCATGATCTTAAAAGAATGGTGAGAATGTTACTCAGAGCTTCCAACAGATTACTTCATCTGCTACTCTCAGTCTGTTTCCCACAAAGTTTCAGAACATGAGCAAAATGTAGACACTTTTTTTTTGCCACAGTGTAATATATATGGTCTCAAATCCAACTGTCAGTGGAGTCCTTGTTCCCAACTGAAACCTCAAGAATAGTCTTTACTGTCTGCATTTTTATCAGCATTCTGTCTATTAACTAGAATTTCCCATCAAGCTTGGGTTATAGCATTGTAGGAATCCTCTAGGAGGCATTTCCAAACCTTTCCAAATTCCTCGTGCAAACCAGTTCTAAAGGTTTCTAAACCACATATTCAGGCAGTTACATAGGCAGGCAGTGGGACAAAATATCAAACACCCACAGTTTATAGGAGGAGAGGTTTCTTTTTGGCTCATGTTGAAGTTTTAGTCCTTGCATGGTTGGCAGCATGGCAGAAGGACCTGAGTAGTAAAAAGTTACTCACAAATGGCAGCCAGACAGCAGAAAGAGAGAAAGAAAGGGCCTCCTCCTAGGTCACAACCACAATGACCTGCCTTTCCTGAACAGGGCCAACCTTCTAACATCATATACAGCTACAGTGCCTCATAATCCAACCACTTTCCAAAAGCCCCACCTATGAGCACATGAGGCACTTGGGGGACATCTAGATACAAACTGTAACAGTTCCAAAGCCACTTCCATAGGTATAACAACTCTACTTTTTGGTACCAATTATCTGTATTATTTCATTTTCCATTACTATAATAAAATACTAGAGGCTGGTTAACTTATAAAGAGGCTTATTTGGCTCATAGTTTTGGTAGCTTGAAAACATGTAAAACTTTCTGCTCAACTCTTGTGAAGGCCATTTTGCAGATGACATCACAGTGGCAGGAAAGCATGGTAAGACAAGAAGCCAAAGACCAGAGGAATCATGCTTGTTGTTTTATAACAACTATCTCAAGAACTAACCACAAGAACTACACTAATTCTTTCCAATAGCAGCACCTTTTCATCAGACTCCATATCTCAATCCTCAATGGAAATGGATAAAATGTAATCAAATAGCAGAGACCATCATTTAAAAAAAATCCAACTGCTTGTTGCCTAGGTTCAAAAACATAAATAAATTTAAGGAAACAATAACAAAAAGTATATCATCATATAGCAACCACAGTAGCTATAATAATGTCAGACAAAATGTATTTTAAAACTGAAAATGATACTAGAAATAAAGACACATTTTAGGCTAATAAAAATATCAGTCAAAAAGCTGTAATAATTACAAATATATAGGCACTCAGGAATCAAGCACCATAATATATAAAGTAAAAACTAGGAGAAATGAAAGGAAAAGTAAAAATTTAAAAAATGGGTGGTGATTCCAACACCCTATTTTATAAACCCCTCAGTGAAAGATCAATGAAGAAATGTAAGACTTGAAAAATATTATAAAATAACCAGACCTAAGAGCCACTTACAAAATACTCCACCCAACAAAAATGCATTTATATCAAATACGCAAAGAACAGACTACAGGAAGACAAGACTTTAGGCCATAAAAAAAAAAATACATTTAGGATAGAAGTAATGCTAATTCTATCTTCAGACCATAATGGAATGAAATTGGAAATCAGTAACAGAAATATTTGGAAAACAAAAATATGTAGAAGTTAAATGATGCATTCCTAAAATAACAAAAAGGAACTCATAGGGCCAGGGATGTAGCTCAGCTGCTCATGAGGTGACTGCCTGGAAAGCATGAGGCCCTGAGTTCAATTCCCAATACCAAAAAGAGAGAGCACATAAAATCTCTGAGATGAATTAAAATGAATAAACAAAACGTCAATACTTTCAGGATAACAACAAAAGGAGTGCTGAAAGGAAAATGGATAGCTCTAAATGCCTATATTAAGAAAGAAGAGCAATCAAGAGCCTAATCTTTCATTTTATGAAATTAGAAAAAGAAAAGCAAACTAAAATAACCAGAAGCAAGGAAATAATACTGACTACAATGAAATTAATAAAATAACAAAAAAGAGACACAATACAGAAAAAGCAATAAAACCAAAAGCTAGCTCTTTGAAAAGATAAAAAGACTTGATAAGCCTTTACCTAATTGACAAGCAAAAGTGACTTGTATTACTAGAACCAGAAACTAAAAAGGGGACAGTATGACCAATTCTACAGAAATAAAAGGGGTATAAAAACACTATGAATGGTTTTGCCAATAAATTTGATAACTGAATGGACAAAATCATCATGACTTTGGTAAAGGATTCGTATTACAGCAAAAACACTGTTTATACAAGGATGTATCAAAAAGTGAAAAAGTGCCGGGGCTGGGGATTTAGCTCAGTGGTGCATCCACCTGCCTCACAAGCACAAGGTTCCAAGTTTGATCCCCAGTACCAAAAAAAAAAAGAAAAAGCACACCAAGGATTTAGCTCAGTGGCAGTGTACGTGCCTCACAAGCATAAGGCTTTGAGTTTGATCTCTGGTACCAAAAGGAAAAAAGAAAAAGCAACACCATTTCAAAGGGTAAGAAAATATTTTCAACTTATATACAGTATCTGAAAAAGGATTATAACCCAGATCATATAAAGAACCTTTATAATTCAGTAAAAGAGAACACAAAACATGGCAGAAGATGTGAAAAGATATTTTCACAAAGACGATATACAGATGGCTAATAAGCCTTTAAAGGATGCTTGACATCATTAATTATCAGCAAAACACAAAACTACAATGAAATGTTATTTCATATCTACTGTTTTGGTGAGAATCAAAAAGTGAAATAGCCACAACTGTTAGCAAGGGTGCAGAAATATCAGGACCCTTAATCTCGCAAGTGGGAATATAAAATGATGTAGCATCTGTAAAACAGTGTGCAGTCCTCAAAAGGTAATGCAGAGCTACCAAACGACCAGAACTCCCACCGCAGGTTGTATACCAAGGAAAATGAACACATACGCCTCCTCTGAAATGTGTACATAAATGTTTATATCAGCATTATTTATAATAGCTAAAAAGGGGAAGGAAACCCCAATGTTTCAACAGATGAAACAACAAACAAAATTTTATACACATATATAAAATAGACAGCTGGGCATGGGGGCGCACGCCTGTAATCCCAGCACTCGGGAGGCTGAGGCAGGAGGATCGCTGTGAGTTCGAGACCAGCCCGGGCTACATAGTGAGTTCCAGGTCAGTCTCAACTACATAGCGAGACCCTGTCTCAAAAGCCAAAAAATAAAAATAAAATAGAAAATTTGGCCATTAAAAAGGAATAAATAATACATGTTAGAACATACTAAGTGAAAAAAGCCAATCATAACAGATAAAAGTATGTAATTTCGTTCATATGAAAGGCTAGACCATGGAAATCTATAGGAACAGAAAGGAAATTTAGGACTGGAGTAGAAATAACAGAAGAGAATGCGAGCTGGAATGTGCAGGGTTTCTTTTAAGGCATATTCTTAAAATTGTGGCAATATTCTCAAGTTGACTATGGTAATAGATACACATGACTTTGACTATGCAGTGAACTATGCATTCTAAATAAATTGTATTAAATTACATCATAATAATTTTATATCAAAATAAGTATTTGCTTGATTTAAAAATCTATATAAATATATTACTTTTATTTTAAATTTATTTAAAATAACTATAAATGCTTTATGATGCCACAGAATCGAATTATCATTGCTTTTTCTTACCGTTGTCCCCATTTATCCTTATTTCATATTCTTTGTAGAGTCTTCCTATGCTTTTCATCATTTCCACCAAGTATTGTTGTTCTGCTGGCATCTTCCCCTCAACACTTTTATGGCGACAAAGTATCCCCATTCCAGTATCTGCCCAGCTCTCCTGTAAATGCTTAATAATCTTGAGAGTATCATATTTTGACACTAGGAGATCCGCAGTATAATTTTCCTTTTCTTCATTTAATTCCTAGAGAGTAAAAGAAGGCAGAGTAGCATATAATTCATCAAAGTTGACACAGACCCTTCTTTCCCAGTGTCCCTCAATTTTTTTGAGTTATATGTTCTGTTATTATTGTTTAAGCTATTTCCTCTCCAAAGTAGTATGTGATGTACATTTATTTAAATTTAAATGAATGTTGTTACACTATGAGAAATTCATAGCTTATCAGCAGGAAGATCATAACATCAAATTTTATGCGGGTAAAAATTTAGTGACAAGCAATTAAGTCCTAGAGAGCCAGCATGTTTTATTATTATAGTAAGGTTGTTATATAGCTGTTTACATGATCCCTGATAAACTGGAATAATTCCTAGAATGTATAGTTTGTATTTGATTCATATTTTATTTAGCTGACTAACCCCAAGTCTCAAATAAGAAATATCATTAAATATTAGTGAGAAAATAAAGTGCAATTTAGTTGTTTCTTCAGTAAGATAATAAATATAGATAGGCATTGTAACAGATCAATTAAGAGTCAGAATTCTGAAGTGAGAGACCCAGACTCAAATTCTCATTCTGCCACTTACCACTTACAGATGTGGATTATAAGACCTATATCATATAGCTCCCCCAAAAGGTAAAATAATGTATGAAAATATTTTAGCCTAACAGTATTTAATAAATGGTATTATGTTTCTAATAATTAAAGATGCATGATTATTTGTCAATTTCATCTATATATGTAAAAACTACCAGATAAAGAGTTTTAAAAAGTCATGGTCCTCCGGTGCAGTGACTTTTTTTGTACCAGGATTGAACTCAGGACCTTGCACTTGCATGGCAGGCAGCAGAACCCCTGAGTTAAATCCCTGGGTCTGCAATTACTTTTTGTTTTTGTACCGGGGATCGAACTCAGGTCCCTGCTCTTGCAAGGCAGACGCCAGAAACACTGAGCTAAATCCCTGGCCCTGCAATGACTTTTTACCATCTTGGTTTTTTTGTTTTGTTTTTGTTTTGGTACCGGGGATCAAACTAGGGCCCTTGCACTTTCAAGCCATGCAGCAAAACCACTGAGCCAAATTCCCAGGCCCCTGAAATGACTTTTTAAAACTTTTTATCTGGTAGTTTTGACATGATGTTTCTGTCATATATTATATATAATAGTTCTGAGACTATTATGATCAAATAATTCCAAAAGAAAAAAGTAGGCCCTGGATCAGACAACTCTGAACTGCTCTTCACTTTGTCTCCCCTTGCATGGGGTTGATTATGGACTAGACCAGTGCTTGGGGACAGAAGAAATAATGCAGTAAGCAACTGCCCACCTACAACTATCACCAACTCCAAGCCAGCTCTATGTTTTGCTTCCCTTGGCATGGAGTAACAGAGGCACAGATTAACTGACAGACCTGATTTTGGATGAGGCCAATGTACAAGGAGAGAAGGTTAACCTGGAAAGCAGGGAGGAAGTACAGACCAGGCTATCAGCTTCAGGGATTCCAGGATCAACCTCCCAAAGTGACACGGTGAGAAATAACCACAGGAAACAACCAGAGAGAGAATACTGGTTAAACACAGACCCCCCTGAGAAGTTTAAACTCAGGCTAGGAAGGAAATGGGCATTGCCCTTCATAGTGAGAAACCAGGCCCAGCAAATGCTGACAGTAAGTCCAACAGTCTGCTTGAATCCCCATCCCACAGCATACATCAAGCAGACAACAGAGGACTGATTGTTTTTCCCATCTACAAAAGTGAGCAAGAACACACTTGAGCTGGGACATCTGCCACAGTCTGAGGTGAATGGACAGAGGGGCACTTTGGGGCAGGGAGTGCACCTCACAAACCCAGAGGCTCTAAAGCTAGGCTAAGAAAAGCATGACTTGCTGGATTCCAAAACTTCAGATCCTGGAAAAAAACCAATCATTCAAAAACAAGTAGGGTTTTTTTTTTTTTTAACTCAATTTTTTAAAAACTTACTATTTCTTTTTCTTTCATCTTTCTTTTTTTTAGGGGTTGCTGAAAAGCTTATGGATTTGTTTCTTCTTTGTTCTCTTCAAACATTTTAAACTTGAGATTAGTTTTTGGGGGTGTTAAGTTTTGGAAGCATCTTGTTGCATTTTTTTCTCATGCTTCTACTGTTTGTGTGTGTGTGTGTGTGTGTGTGTGTGTGTGTGTGTGTGTGCGCACATGCTGAGAGATGAGGATTAGTTATGGTAGAAAAACTGCTGTGGAGATTTCTTTAGTTAGTGTATTTTTCCCTGTGATGTGATCTTGGTTTAAGTTGTTTTGGTATTTGTATACTTCTTCAACCTATTGAATATAAGGATCAGTCTGGGTTTCTACTGCAAGGACCAAGTTTTCAGGTCAAGGTGGGCTCCCTCTGTGCCCCCTGTATACACCCCTTGCCCAAAACAAAGCTGCAAAAGTTCCCTTCTGTAAAATTCCATTCTGTGTGACAGTCTCCCTGTGTTTCTGTTCCTCTTTTTAGGGCAAGCTGTCTTAGGGCATCTCTACCCTGTTTCTGTTCCTCTTTTTATGATCTAAAGATGAATTCTTCCTGCTTAAAATAATCAATGTTTTTTAAAAGGAGGACTGATGAAATTGATTTAGCCAATATAGGTACTAGTCATAGCTTATATAGGTAGCCATTGCTAATATAGGCTTAGTTATTGCTCACATATGTAGTCTTTGTTAATTATAGAATTTGTTTAATCAGATATTCTTTAAAAAGAGGAATTGATTCTGTGAATGTACGCATTAGGTAATTTTCCAGTAAGTGCCCTCCTGGTGCCCCTTGAATATCCAAAAAAATGTAAAAGCCCTCCCAGTATCCCTCAAATATCCAATGATAAGCAAGAGCTAAAAATAGAAACTACATAAGCAAAACGTTTCCTTAACCCTATATAAACCCGCTTCAAAATTGGATCTGGGCTCTCGGTCTAAAGCCACTGTGACGGTGACACCTGAGGGTCCAGGCTCGGGCTTTCAATAAACTCCTCTTGTAATTGCATCGGACCTGACTCCTTGGTGGTCTTTGGGGACTTTGCGACTTGGGCACAACACTACACTACAAGGAGAGAATCAGTACTGGTTATATCAGTATCCATAGCATCAACTATACACCAATCATGCAACTTAAAATTCAATTTAATGATTGCACCCTTTTTTCAATAACTCAGAAACACAAATACTGCTGAAAGATAGGCTAGGATGTAGAGGATGAAGGAAGACAATAATTCATAAAGAAGGAAAGGAGAAAAAGGGTAACAGTAAATGAAAGAAAGAAAAGAGATAGAAATTTATTGATATTATTTTTATATCTAGAGTTGAGGGCTAGTGGAGAGGGCATGTGAGAAGGTATCTGTGGGAATGGGAAAAGGGATGAAGAGGGAGGGAAGTGTAACTAGAGCTTCAGGGAAGTTGTGAGAAGGCTGAAACCAATTAATATACTGCTGTAAAGCTTGTGTTTGAATCCTCTGTACGTAACTTTCTGTGAAGGTTAACCTGACACATCCATGGAAGATACTATTTAAACTAAAGCACCAATTCTTATTCTCCTTTTCCCGTACACAAAAACTATATAGAAAAATAAAAAAACACAACAGAAAAGAGCACTCTCAGTACTATAGTATTTATACCACAGTCAGAATTCAACCAGTGGGCTATTTCCCATACATTCACAGAGAAAGTCTGATTTGTAAATGGAACAGGAGGAATCCAGACAGACTGCTCAGACTTCTTTCCCTCTGCACTGTCCTTCTGGTTTCAGTTGGTTACTGTGTGCGTGGCTACCCAGAATTTTGTGGGGTTTTTGCTTGTTTTATGAGTGGATACCTCCAGTTGTGTCTGAGTAGGGGGCACAGTGTGGCGGGTCAGGTACCTAGTCTTCCACTGATTTTCAAAGAGGGCTTCTCCATCTCCATCCCTTCTCTCTGTGAGAATCCAGGCAGTTGTTTACATCTGCTCTTTCTGTTCCACTCTGGGTAATTGCGCTGTGCAAACCCTCCTAGGTACACAGTTCCTCTCCAGATCTCCACCTGCAATAAACTCTGCCCACACTCCATAAAGCATCACTCCCCAGCCGACAAAATCAGTGGTGCCAAGGGCTCATGTCGCTCAGTGGCTTTGGGCTGAGGGTGAGAGAGGGTTCCCAAACAGGCCCTAAAGGGCAGGCAATGGGGATGTCATTCATTTTAAAAGTTCAGTTTGATCCTGGTGTGGTGACCCATGCCTGTCATCCCAGCACTTGGGAGGCTGAGGCAGGAGGATCGCTGTGAGTTGGAGACCAACCTGGGCTACATAGTGAGTTCCAGTTCAGTCTCAACTACATAGTGAGACACTATCTCAAAAAACAAAACAAAACAAAAAAAGTTCAGTTTGTCCTAAAACAAAAGTTAGATCCAAGACAGGCATAAATGTTACCTATATCTGACAAATGGGGGCCAGGGATTTAGCTCAGTGATGCAGCTACTGAGGATCAAACAGCTGTCCAGAGTTTGATCCTCGGTACCAAAAAAAAAAAAAAAAAATCTGACAAATGGATAGGAGAATTGGGTACTACCCACATATCTTTTCCCATTTTTTTTTCTTCTGATAGCCTAATTTTATTTGTCAAAAAATCTGAAATAGATCTGAAAATAATAATATTTTTAAAGCCCATGCAGTCTTGATGTTTTGTCTTTTAACAAACTTAATATTGCATTGTGAAAGAATGAGATGTGACTCAGTTGTAGCAGGAGTTTTAAGTTTCCAACCAATACTTTGTTTATCAGATATTTATTAGGAAGTCTTACCCTTTGCCACTGCTTGAAGTCTGAAACAACCAAATCAAATATATTTCCTTTATTGGGGGATGGAATGTCTTCTCCCCTGAAACAAAAACGAGCGAGCGAAAGAACTCATAACAGAGAATAAACAAAATCCTAACTCCTTTTGCTAAATAACAATATTAAGTTTGTCCTCAATTTTCAAGCACACCTTCCAGGTGCAGCCCTTATGATTTGCAAGTATAAACAGAAACTTAAAATCTAAGCAAACATGAACAATCAAGTTACAGTGCCATGGGCTGTGATAGGATCTTTTTAAAAGGGTGGGCTTTAAACTTGAAAGTTCAAAACTAAATCACCATAGGGGAATTCCTGATGAAGACACCTGTAAAAACAACAGATCAAGAGACAGGAAGCCTAATGAATAATTAAGACAAAACATTAGGTTAAGAGACTCAACTTTTGATAAGAAGCTTTTAATTTCTTTTAAGTCTCACAGGAGAAAGATATTTTTAAAGAAGTTCCTAAAGAGAGAGAAGAGAACTGTAGCCACCTGTGTGCCCCTCAGAGGTAAAAAGTAACAAATAGAAAAGTAAACCTGGCAGCAAAAACCAGCTTGGAGGTATGCCAGCTGCACTTTCCAGAAACTTCCAAATCTACTAATTGGGAAACCTCTTCATGTGATTGAAAATAAAACCACTATTCTCATTTTTTTGTTGTTGTTTTTTGTTTTGATACAAAGCCTTCCTATGTAAATCAGTCTATCCTTGAACTCACAATCCCTGTGCCTCAGGATCCCTAATGTACTCAATTTGAAATGGAAACTGTCTCTAAAATGTAATAGACAAAGTATCTTAAAAAATTTTTTAAAGCATCTTAAATTTCAAAAAAACCTTACAGCCAAAGCCTAGGCCCTGATCCACCGCAGGAAGGAGAACCACGCCTGCTCCCAACCCAGCAGCCATCGCTCCAGCGCCGGGAAGGTAGCCACATGGGTGCCCCTGAACCCCCATAAGCCCCCCACACACACTCTCAGACCTCCTGACTGTGCCAGTCTTTGGACCCACTCTGTAAAGACAGAGGTGGTCATCAAGGGTATTTTTCTGAGTTCCCAACTTTGAACATCTTTAAAGAAAGAGCGTGGGAAACCTGTAACAGAACATTGCATGGAGTTCAACCATTCAGAAGGTTGGGGAACTCAATCTGGGCCTTGCAGGCCGAGGTCAGTCAGCATCATCGGGTTCAGTCATCAGCTAACTGAGATCAGGGGTCTTGCATCCTCGCTCTGTCTGAGCCATTAAATTGTAAATACACTATATTGAAATTTTGTTCACTGCAGACATGTTCTGGACTGCTTCTTGATTTCAATTTAATTCAAATGATTTAAGGGTGATAGACTAGTGACTACCACAGGTGGTCAGTGTCCAAGTTGTGCTTGATCTTAATGTGTTGCTGATTGTATCAGTTGGGGTAAAGCATTGCCGTTGATTTGATGAGCTGTTTTCTCTGATGTTATGAAGATGAGAATGTCTGTGGGTCGTTAGAGACACAGAAGCTAGAGTGCAACTATATCAGGAAGATTTGGGTGATAATCCAGAGATTAAACCAAGGACAGTCTGACAACAAAAATTAAAATGAGAAAACACTTAAGCAAGACACAAGGACAGACTTCCAGTTTACCAATGGCAAACAGTAGGGCAAATGAGGATGAAAAGGCCGATAGTGAACCACCAGGACACCCTGAACTCAAAGCACAGGAAGTAACAAAACAGATCAATCAGGCTCTAGAAAAATTCAAAACAGAAATAATTTCCCAGATAACCATAGAGATAGTGAGCAAAATGGAAGTCATGATTCGAGACTCTAGAGCAGAAACTGACAAAAAAATAGATGAGCTCAGGACCATGAAAGAAGCCATGAAGGCCCAGCATAAGAAAGAAATGGAAAAAATAAACGCCCAACATAGGAAAGAAATGGAATCCATAAAACAGATTCAAACAGATATCCAGGAGATTAAACACTCTATTGAAAGTGTACGCAACAGAATAAAAGAATGCGAAGATAGGCTCTCAGATATAGAAGATAAGATTGCAGTCAGTGACCATGAAAAGAGAGGTCTCTTAAAAACAGTAAGAGATCATGAGAAATCGATCCAACAACTCCTAGATGATGCAAAGAAGAATAACATAAGACTGATAGGAATACATGAAGTAGCAGGAGAAAATACAAATGACTTAAAAAAGCTGTTTGCAGAATTAATGACAGAAAACTTCCCAAACAGAGGGGAAGAATTTGACATTCAGATAACTGAGGCATATAGGACCCCAACTAGCTACAATCAAAAAAAATCTACACCTAGACATATAATAATCAAGATCCCAGAAACCCAACAGAAGAACAAAATACTACAAGCAGTAAGAGAAAAGAAACAAATCACATACAAAGGAAAGCCCATCAGAATCACAGCAGACTTTTCAACACAAACCCTTGGGGCAAGGAGAGCCTGGAATGAGATATTTCAAGTACTAAAAGAGAACAACCTCCAACCTAGACTGATGTATCCAGCAAAACTCTCTTTCAAAATGGATGGGGAAATAAGACACTTCCACGACAAAGAACACCTGAGAAACTACATGAATACCAAACCAGCACTACAAGCAATTCTAAACAAGATCCTAGAAAAAGACAATGAAGGCAACAACACCATGAGGCCCAACAGAGCAAATCAAATAGGCAAGGCAAGAAATTAAAAGGAGAAGGTGAAAAAGTAAAAAGAGTCAACAAAAGGCCAGTAACATGTCAATAATAAGTCAGTACATATCAGTTATAACATATCAGCAATGTCAATGGCCTCAACTCACCAATCAAGAGAAATAGACTGGCAAAATGGAATAAGAAGCAAAATCCAACAATATGTTGTATACAAGAAACACACCTAGTGCAAAAAGAAGCCCATAGACTGAAAGTGAAAAGACAGAAAACAATTCTCCATGTGACAGGAGCTCAGAAAAAAACAGGGGTAGCAATCTTATTTGCAGACAAAGTAAATTTTAAACCAAAACTGAATCTAGTATTATTGATGTAGGATGGTACTGTATCATACCTCTATGAATGTAAAATATCTAGTACCTTTCTGATACATAGTAGGCACCATGCTTTATCAGAGCTACATTTAATGATATTACTCTAGAATGTTCTCTTT